ACCTGCCGGAGTCTTGGTTGACCACCACGACTCTTGGTTGATCACCATGATTCTTAGTTGGCCTCCATGACTCTTGGTTGACTGCCATGATTCTTGGTTGACCCCTATGGCTCCCGATTGACCACCATGATCCTTGGTTGACCACACAAACCTGTGTTGACCACCACAACTCCTGGCTGTCCATCACAACTCTTGGTTCACCTCCACAATTCTTGGTTGACCACCACAACTCTTGGTTGACCTCCATGACTCTTGACTGACCCCTTATGGCTCTTGATTGACCACCATGATTCTCCCTTGACCACCATGATTCTCGGTTGACCACCACAACCCTTGGTTGACCTCCATGACTCTTGATTGACCCCTTATGGCTCTTGATTGACCCCCACGGTTCCCGGTCGACCACCACCACTCTTGGTTGACCACAACACCTCCACAACCTTCTCCAAACCACCCCCACCAACTCCCAGTCGTCTCCAACCACCTCCAGAACCTCTCCATCCTCCCACACCTCCATCCCAGCACCCCCGGGGACCCCCCGGAGCCCCTCCCCGGCTCAGTTGAGGAAGCGCCGACAGCGCCGGGCGCCGCAGTTGCAGGGCAGCTTGGCCGCCGGCTCCTCAATGGGGAACTTGTAGTCGTAGGTGAGCTCCTCGCCGCGCAGGATGCGGCGCAGCGCGAAGATGACGATGCGCTTGTGGCCCTCCACGTGGATGACGCGCGAGTAGCAGTTGGGCTCGCACGAGTGGTTGATGAAGCGCGCGGCGCTGCCGTGCATGGTGGCGTCCACCACCTCGGCCTCGTCGATGCGGAACATGTAGCAGCCGATGCCCTGCGGGGACAGACGGGGGGTCAGCGCAGCGGGGGCGTGGTCAAGGGTTGGGGGCGTGGTCTAGGGTTGGGGACATCAGAAAGGGTTGGGGTGTGGTCAAGGGTTGGGAGCACAGTCAAGGGTTGGGGATGTCATCAAGGTTTGGGAATATCAGAAATCGGGGACTTCAGAAAGGGTTGGGGCATGGTCAAGGGTTGGGGATATCAGAAAGGGTTGGGGCGTGGTCAAGGGTTGGGGATATCAGAAAAGGTTGGGGCGTGGTCAAGAGTTGGGGCGCGGTCATGGGTTGGGACGTGGTCAAGGGTTGTGGACAGTCAAGGGTTGGGGACATTCAAGGGGTGGGACATGATCAAGGGTTGAGGTGTGGTCAAGGGTTAGGGACATCATCAAGGGTTGGAGACATCAGGAAGGGTTGGGGCGTGGTCAAGGGTTGTGGACAGTCAAGGGTTGGAGACATTATCCAGGGCTGGGGACATCAGGAAGGGTTGGGGCATGGTCAAGAGTTGGGGACATCAGAAAGGGTTGGGGCATGGTCAAGGGTTGGGGGCACAGTCAAGGGTTGGGGACGTCATCAAGGGTTGGGGATATCAGAAATCGTTGGGGACGTCAGAAAGAGTTGGGGCACGGTCAAGGGTTGGGGACATCATCAAGGGTTGGGGCGTGGTCAAGGGTTGGGAATATCAGAAATTGTTGGGGACGTCAGAAAGGGTTGGGGCATCGTCAGGCCCTCCATTTTCCCCTCATCTTTCCCTCCATCTCCCCCTCACGTTCCCCTCCATTTTCTCCTCACATTTCCCTAATTTTCCCCTCACATTTCCCTCCATTTTCCCCTCACATTTCCCTAATTTTCCCCTCACATTCCCCTCCATTTCCCCCTCAATTTTCCCACCTTTCCCCCCTCATTTTCCCGCCATTTCCCCCCCGTGTCTCCCATCACGGCATTCACTCAAGATTTGGGGTCATCCCCCCAATTTTTGGGTTTGCCCTCCCGTATTTTTCACTTTTCCCTCCCAATTTTTTGGGGTGTCCTCCCCATTTTCCACAGCACCCCAGATTTTTCCAGCTTTCCCCCCAATTTTTCCTCTCTCCCTCCAATTTTTGGGGTCTCCCCCCTCATTTTCTTGGGATTTCACCCCATTTTTGGGCTTCCCCCTTTTTTTGAGCTTTTCTCCCCATTTTTGGGGCGTCCTCTCCTTTTTTTTAGGTATTCCCCCCAATTTTTTGACTTTTCCTCACACTTTTTAAACTTTCCCTCCCAATTTTTGGCCTTTTCCTCCTAATTTTTGGGGTTTCCCCCCAATTTTTGGCATTTCCCCCATTTTTTTGGGGTGTCCCTGCAATTTTTCCATTTTTCCCCATTTCTTCCCCCAATTTTCCGCATTTTCCCCATTTCCAAACTTCCTCCTCCATTTTTTTGGGTGTTCCCCCCATTTTTTGTGGCGTTCTCCTCATTTTTTGCGGTGTTTTTGCCTTTTTTTCGGGTTTTTCCCCCCAAAATTTGGGGGTGCCCACCTTGCTGTCGTAGAACTTCTCCCGCTTGTCGGTGAGCACGGAGCGCACGACGATTCCGGAATATTCTATCACCATCTCCCCTGCCTCGATGTTCCTCTTGCAGAACAAGCCCCTCCCGTGGATGGCCGAGCTGGGTGTGAGGGGTCAGGGTCACCCCCAAATCCGGGGAACCCCAAAAATCCCAAAATCCCCCCAAAAATCCTCCCTGGAATGTAAAAAACCCGACAAAAATCCACCCAGGGAACCCAAATTTCACCCAAAAAATCAACAAAGGACACGAAAATCCCCCACAAAATTCTGCCCTGTTTGTGGATGGTTGAGCTCAGGGGGGTCAGGGTCACCCCCAAATCCGGGGAACCCCAAAAATCCCAAAATCCCCCCAAAAATCCACCCTGGAATGTAAAAAACCCGACAAAAATCCACCCAGGGAACCCAAATTTCACCCAAAAAAATCAACGAAGGACACAAAAATCCCCCCCAAAATTCTGCCCTGTCTGTGGATGGTTGAGCTCAGGGGGGTCAGGGTCACCCCCAAATCCGGGGAACCCCAAAAATCCCAAAATTCCCCCAAAAATTCACCCAGCAATGTCAAAAACCCAACAGAAGTCTAACCAGGAGCTCCTAAAAAACTGCCCCAAAATCCTAAAATGACCCCCAGGAACCCCAAAATTCTGCCCTGTCTGTGGATGGTTGAGCTCAGGGGGGTCAGGGTCACCCCCAAATCCAGGGAACCCCAAAAATCCACCCAGGAACGCAAAAAAACCCCCCAAAAATCCACCCAAGAACCCCAAATTTTACTCAAAATTCCACCCCAGGAACCACAAAATTCCTGAAAATTCTCCCCTGCCTGTGGATGGTTGAGGGGGCTCAGGGTCACCCCCAAATCTGGGGAACCCCAAAAAATCCCAAAATCCCCCCAAAAACCCACCCAGGAATGCCGAAAACCCTGCAAAAATCAACACAGGAACCCCAAATTTCACCCCAAAACCACTAAACCCCCAAATATTCCGCTCAAAATCCACCCCAGGTGTGCCCAGATGCCCCGAGGTGTGCCCAGGTGCCCTCAGGTGTGCCCAGGTGTACCTGAGATGCCCACAGGTGCTCCAAGGTGCCCCCAGATTCCCACCAGGTGTGCCCAGGTGTATTTTGGATGTGCCCAGGTGCCCCCAGGGGTGTGCCCAGGTGTCCCCAAATCTCTCTCAGGTGCCCCCAGATGTATTTGAGATGCCCCCAGGTGTGCCCAGGTGCCCTCCAGGTGTGCCCAGGTGCCCCCAGCTGTGCCCAGGTGTCCCCAAATCTCTCCCAGATGCTCTCCAGGTGCGCCCAGGTGCCCCCAGGTCTCCCCAAATCTCTCCCAGGTGCCCCCTGGTGTGTGCCCTGATGCCCCCAGGTGCCCCCAGGTGTGCCCAGGTGCCCCCAGGTCTCCCCAAATCTCTCCCAGGTGCCCTCCAGGTGCGCCCAGGTGCCCCCAGGTGTGCTCAGGTGCCCCCAGGTGTGTGCCCAGGGGCCCCCAGGGGAGCCCAGGGGTGTCCGAGGTGCCCCCAAGTGCTCGGGTGCCCCCAGGTGCCCCCAGGTGTGCTCAGGTGCACACAGGTGCCCCCAGGTGTGTTTTTGGGTGCCCCCAGGTGTGTGCCCAGATGCCCCGAGGTGTGCCCAGGTGTCCCCAGGTGTGTTTTTGGGTGCCCCCAGGTGTGTGCCCAGATGCCCCGAGGTGTGCCCAGGTGTCCCCAGGTGTGTTTTTGGGTGCCCCCAGGTGTGTTTTTGGGTGCCCCCAGGTG